AAAGTATGTCCTTCATGATTAAAAGCCTTTAATCGTGGCTGCTAAAGCTTCAAGCTAATAATCACAAAGGCTAATAATTGCAGTTTCATTAATGCAAGTATCAATACTCTGCTGATATGCTCACTTTGTTGGAAAAATAACAACATTTTCTGCTAGATTTTATGTCAAGTGATAATGAATGAGACTCAAATTATGTTTCCTCCTGAATGTATCAGTTTTTTTTATTACTGCACATATTTTATTCCATTCTATGTCAATGTAAATACTGCTATATTTTTAAATATATTTTTTTACATCATTATAGTTTCCTTAACATAGTGATTCTGAATGTGTCCCCCTACAGGAGTGGGCATACTGAAAGGGGGCGAGAGGAACACCCAGAGCAGCTCCATCGGGGCCGTGCGCTGGAACCTGCCCGAGGAGGACGTGCAGATCCACAGCTCGGCCCCGAGCAGAGCCGCCATCAACCTCACTCACCGCTCACAGGTACATGGAAACTGCTTTTTCATTTATATATTTTTTCTGTGAATTCCGTTTTGGTTTACATTCTTTTAAACCATACCCTGTTGTGTTTTCCTGCAGCGACACCCTCGTCAGAACGGCCTGAAGGATCTGCGCAGCCTGCAGGAGTGTGTGCAGTTCATTCATCACTGGAAGGAGCAAGTGGACCAAGTCTGCAAGGTAGGACATCAGGGAAGGAAGGAAGGAGATGTGAGTCAGTGTCTCAGCAGACTCATATTATTGTCTTCAATAGCAAAGAACAATCTGACAACAGAAAAGAGGGTAGACTTAAGAGAACAGGAGAAGGAAACATATTTCTAAACATTAGTTTCCTTACCATGTTGACTCTGGTTGTTTGCCAGCTCAGTAAAACATGGCTTTGATTTGGACAGTAAAAATGACTGCTGATTATCTCAGTCTGTTAAAAGTTCATGAACCTGTTTTTATGACCAAAACAGATGAGTGTTGCCGTGGGAAACATTTTCCTGCACGCAGATACTGTAGATGAGTACGTTGAATGGGTGGATGCTACCTGTTTATGATGCCCGGTTATCTGCCTCGCCGTGCTGAGTCACAGATAGAGGGTTTATTTAACTGTAACCTTTCTATTTAGACATCCGTAAAAGGGAAAATGTCCCACGTGTGGCATATGTGCTTTTTTTTAAACGTTATTTTATGGTCATAGTGTCAGAATCAGAATAAGAAAATTAGTTCCCAAAAGTTGCTCTATTCTAGAATAAAATGTATTAAAATTAAAATAGAATAAATATATTAATATAAAGAAAAGGAGTTTAAATAAAATTCAATGAGAAAAAAAATAGATTCAATATTTACATTAACATAAGAAGTACAAATGTCCAAGTATATAAAAATGGGATTTAACGATATATAACGTGTTGTAAAATGACTGATAAAGATGTGAATTAATTGTTGTTTGAAATATTCACTGTAATACATAAATAATCTTAAATCTTATTAGTATTTTACAGTTGAGTAATTGCACAGGTAACATTGTGTTTTTAAGAGTGTGTGTTGCTGTGTTGCAGCAGGGCGGGGGGGATCCACACGAGGGTCCCAGTGATGAAGAAGCCCAGAGTGCAGACAGCCGTACTGAGCGTAGCCTGGAGGAGAGCAGGAAGCTGATCCTGGAGTGGGCCAACGAGCTGCACCATGTCGACAAGGTCAGAACATGACAACAAAAATACTATTCTGTTTTTTTTTGTTGGAACGGCTATGGTTGTGAAAGAAATATCAATGTTAACTTACTGATTTTGTGTCCTCAGTTCCTGAAGGAGATGCCCTCGGCGTTGGAGAGTGAAGAAAATAAGAAGAAGGATTTCAAGGAGGAGCCACAGATGAGGATCATGGAGTGGGCAAAGGAGCTGCAGACAGCCACTGAGGTGAGGGACATTAAACCAGAAGAACATCCCAAAAAAACTTGTAGAAAGGTTTTTAGTGTCTGTTAATCTCAACATAAACGACCTACCAAGTGCATCTCAGTTGGGAATTGTAAGCGCATGAAGGGAAATGACTTAGTTTTACTATCTTTACAGTGCAGCAGGGCCGGCCCTAGGCACTGGCGAACTAGCCGGTCGCCTAGGGCGCCAGATCTGGAGGGGCGCTGCAATGGGAGAAAAATAATTATAATAAAAAAATATATATATTAATTTTTTATTTGTATTCTGTCTAATTTTCTGCCCTTGATGTAATACATTTACATTAATAATTGAATTGAACAACAAAATAAAATACGTTACATTTATTTGTTATTGGCTGTAGGTTATTGGTTATGTTCACATACTTATTTGATTATTAAAATGCAAACCGATCTTTTTCATATGGGTGTTTAGAGTTGTACCACCTAGATCTATTCTCTAGCAATTCTGCTCAAAGTGCACCAGATTGAAAATGTTTTCTTTAAAATGTTAAAAAAAATGTGGATGCGACGTCCACCCGCCAATTAAAACATGTACAATAATGAATACATTTGAAACCTTCTTTATGTATATAACCAACATGTCAATACGTTTCAGTTTATGTAGTGTATTGATCTTTTGTAGAGATTTGCTTGGAGGGGGGGGGGCACCAAATCATAATCTCGGCTAGGGCACCAAAATGTCTAGGGCCGGCCCTGGTAGGCAGTATGTAAGAGTGTGTGGTTTTTAAGGGGAAAACAATGCCAAATCTTGAAGCTGACTGAGTGTTTGTGTCTGCAGAGTTGTGGTGTGCCGAGCGAGGAGCTGGGCAGAGTGCTGAGTCAGCTCGGCCTGAAGAAGAAGCGTCTGGGGAACCTGCTTCCTCTGCTGGAGTTCATCACCTGGTCCCTGCTCAGAGAAGACAGCATGGTGAGAACATTTCTGCCATAACATTGCGTTGTTTCTGTGAAGGCTGAAGTGAAATAGAAACCAACATTTAATCTGACCATAAAACGAATAATTGGCTTGGAATACGCTACGTGTGTGACATGAAGCAACATTATATAACGTGTGGTTAAAGTGAACCCTGCTCTCTGAATGCGTGCAGAGCATAAATAAATGCACTCGGTGATTTGGCTTATATGACCCTGACTTCCACAATAAATGTCCTTAATAACTGATAGTTTATCTGCTCAGTTTTCATCTCACACGCAGATGAAGGCGCGGTATACGGGCCAAAGTTATTTTATTGAAATTTGAAGGACTATATCGCAATTAGAGTCCAGTTTTACTTTCTTTCATGCTTGAAAACGGGAATTTCCACTACCTGCAGCAACAATAAACTGCATTTTCTCTATTTATGTTTAATTATGGCTCTAAAAGGGGCCCTATTATGCTTTTTCGGGGGTGTCCCTTTTCTGTAGTGTGTTATATAGGGTTGTGCATGTAAATGGTCTGCAAAAACGTCACAGTAGAGGCACAAAATACAATGAGGAACTTGAAAATGACCGTTGACTACTGGTGCATGGTCTGGTCTATTTTGCATTACTGCCCTCATAAAGCCAGGGTCATCACCACAGTCAGCCAAACGTATCAAAGTGCTAACAGGAAGCACTGGTACATCACACACATTAACATGATTCATGGGGATAAATGAAAATGTTGCTCTTGTGGAAAAAAGTGATTTTTACCTTTTTATTTTCCCATTTCAGAAAATGATTCCACAGCTATGGTTACTGGCAAAACAAAGGACCTGGAAAGCCGGGATTTCAAGATACATCCCCAACTCAGGTGTGAATTAAAACACATAATTGTATAATCATTTGACTCTTTATTTGAAAAATGACACAGGTTTGCCCGAAGTACGGTCAATATATTATTCTGATGTGATTGAGACGGTGGAGGTTTTGATCATTTAATAAAAAGCTATTTGTCTCTTCAGCAAATCAACACAGTTTGTGTTGTATAAGGTGTGAGCAGTAGAAATACAAACGGATTGTCCTTTTTAGAATAAATTGGAGAGGCCTAAAGAGTATTTTAAAGGAACAAGCAAGTTAAAGATAATGCTGAGAAAAAGAATTAGTAAGTGTATTGTGAATCATCTTACGCTTAAGGTTGATCATGTGACCTTTTATCCCATCCTCTGTAGATTACAGCATTTCATTAAGACGTTTGTTGTTGTTTATCCACTGCACATTCAATAACATACATGTCTCTGTTTGCAGTCTGGAATTGGATTTGCAGCGCAGCAGGTAAGACCAACCCTTATTCATCTTATCTTGTCTTGTATAACAACACTTATCTGACAACAACCTCGTGCTTTCTCTGTTCCCTAACAGCTGATGTGATCCTGGACCCCATGACCAACCACCCCTGGCTGCACATGTCGGAGGACCAGGTCCAGGAGGGTCTCTCTGAGGCCGAGCTGCCTTTCAGCCCCCAGCGCTTCGACAGCTGGCCCTGCGTGTTGGGGTGGGAGGGCTTCAGCAGCGGGCGCCACTACTGGGAGGTGGACATATCCAAAAATGGCTTCTGGCGTCTGGGAGTGACCACCGCAGACTCCAAGCGTCTCGGCCGGTTCCCCATGACCCCCAATGAGGGCTACTGGGTCCTGTGGCGCAGCAACAACAACTTCTATGCCTGCACCAAGCCGGAGAGCGCTCAGCCCGTCGGCATGGTGCCCAAACGGATGGGGGTCTACTTAGACTATGAGGAGGGCCAGATCTCCTTCTACAACGCAGAGACAAAGACCCACATCTACACCTTCATTGGGAGCTTCAGGGGGAAGCTGTACCCTCTGTTCGCCCCGCTGGGGGGGCGCACTGTGCTGAGGATCGTCCATCATACAGCTACTGGGAGAGCTTCTTTGGTGGATTCATTGCAACTTGATGGAAAAGTTGGTTTTTCGGGGGGGATTTGATTGACCTTCCATGTTGCTTTAAATAGTTGCTGTCAAATAGTGATACGCAAACGACGACTGATGTATATCAAAGTGCTCATGATGCTGTAAATAGATGTATCTGATCATAGCATAAGTGGAGATTTTTGATCAGACGGTCAGAAACAAAAACATTGAAACGAAACTTTGTGTCAAGTATTTATTTTAAACCATGGAATTTTTGGAAAATTACACTTAATTTTTTCAGAATTTCCTTATTTATGTGTGGACATGAAAGATCCCACATCCCGTATCTATGCACTTTATAATGCACTTTCAGACCGGCAATAAATATTTATATACATACTGTAATATGTGTTTTTTCATTCTACAATGTAAATCTTTGTACATTTTACTTGGACCCTATTACAATGCTGATGTTCTTCTCTTTGCATGACAATTTATATTTATTCAAATGTTTTATATTTTAAATAAATGTAAAATGTGTTTACATGTGTGTCAGGAGCCTCTCTTACTAGCCCAGGGTCCGTAAGCCTCACAGCTGGAGGCAAAGAGACTGCCGCCCCCCCGCAGGTCTGCACAGTCCCTGTCTTCAGCATCCCACTCCACCGTCACCCTGCAAAGGGGGACATGTCGCAATTTTATCCAAAAGATGATCTGTGATAACAAACTTAGAGTATGTGAATAAATACTCCAATGTTAACAAATACAATCAGTTGTATGTCAGTGTTTATATGTAAATGATTGTTTATATGTATATATTGTAATAATAAAACATATTTCATTACAATGTATGAAGTGTGTTATTCTCCAAGAATATATAAAATAATTGGTTATCCACGTATCGATACCTAATGGACTATACAATCGATTTAAGAGCCAAACGGGAGGTCCTCATTTTGCTCTTTAGTCTCAGCTTCATTTTATTTTCAAGTCATTTTAAAGGTCTGGATTTTTTCGTAATTCCTAAAAGAGATATTTGATCTAATACGTAGAATCGTGTGCAACAGGTCAGCTGAACTTGCAGAAATGCCTTTTGGTCCACTTTGTTTACAGAAAAAAAAAACATGTTTCAAAAGTTTATTAATGTTCTTTGGTTTGAATGATTTATTAACTAGAAACACACCTAAGGTTTTAATGTGTTTTTTTGTCGTATTTTGTTTCCTGCGGTATATACATAATACTCATGTGTGTTTCACCTGGCTAGGATGTTGAAATGAACCGTGGAATAAATATAAAATGCTCTTTCTCTACTGCTTCTTCACGAACATTATTTTCGGTTTGAAATTGGATACATAAATATTATTATTTAATAGATCAACAAATATATTTTTGCATTCCTTGATCACTTGCTGTAATAGTAATCACATCTTGGTCACCACAGCTTCAACTGTAATGTCCATATTATGAAAATGATGCTTTAATTTAAGAAGTATCATTAGAAGTGTAGCATAATACTTCTGGTGTCTGCTGCTTCACAAATAAACCAAGAGCATCCTCATCTAACCATAAATACTGACCTCTCATTGATCTGTTCTGTTGCCTTTATAAGCAGATGTTCCACATTTCTATTGTTGCTCCTTAATATGAAAAACCTTTGACCCGTTACCATCTGAATCTGGACTTACGGCATTTATTGCTGGACGTCCCCCCCGTCCCCCCACAGCCACAGCCCCTCCTGCTGAGCGTCCGTCAGTCCCACCCACAGGAAGGGGAAGAGAGGGAACCGTCTCATCACACCTTGGATAAACTCCTAAAGAATAAGAGACATTCAGATGACTTTATATCCAGAAACCCTCCCTGATGTTATCTCTGTGTTTGTGTTGTTACCATCTCTGCGGGGTCTCTGATGACGGCCAGGCTGCTGTTGAGCTGCAGGCAGAACTCTGAGCTCTCGATCCAGCTACGATCATCTTGCTGTCCCACTGAGAGGAAGTAGCAGTGACCCCCCCCCACCACAGCCAGCCGTCAGGACACACACTGCACATGGGGTCTACACACAGCAGGACGCACACACTGATCTGAATGCATTCAACACACCGGTTAATACAACTCAACATACCAAGATGTCATGAGAGCTTTCACCACTGTCATCAATCAAAGATCTGCCATCTTAATGTCCTGTAAGTGTTTACGACTGCACCCACACGCTTTGAGAAGTCACATGGGCAGGATGTGAGATGTTGGCATCAGAGAAGAGAATATAAATCATCTTGAGTTACGGTGTGGAGCATCAGGTTCACTTCCTGGCGCTCTCTTTGGCACTGCAGCAGCCTCTCCATCAGCTCATGGCCTGACGTTTTGGCGGTCTGATCCACTTCTGGTGCTCTTGTCCACGTGACTGGCCAAATAACACGAGTCATTTAGTAACTTGATGCAGTGTACCTGAAGATGGTTTGTAATTTATATGATGACAAGTATAGTAATAACAGGAAATAGATGTTGAGGCCCTGCTTTATTATCAAAAAACATGTCAATTACAACATTAAATGTTTCAATATGAGTTATTTTTAAACTGTATTCATATACCTGATATCTGACTTATTATGGTTTGAAATAATGAAATGTAAAATAAACTGTAGTCCTAAATTATTTTTATTTATGCGGGCACAAATAGGATCAATGTATATAACATGTATTATTTTTACATTTATACTCACCAAATAATACCAAACCCATTAGAAGTCCTATCACCAGAATTGATGTTGCCATAACAACAGCCACATGAGTTGTCAGTTGACAAGTGTGACAGTATCCTGCAACTGTGGAGTAAAAAAATGAACAATCATGAAACTAAAACGTCATGTAAGCAGACGTTTCTCTGAAATCGTCATTGTCAACAAGAAAGGTCATTTTACAATGACAATGTAGAATGACTAAACGTAGGATATACATAAACCTGTTAACCAATGACTTGAGCACTAAAACACATCATACTATGACCTGCCTGTGGCTTCACTGTTTGACCTCTGACACCCATTTAAACTGTAAAGCATTAACGCATCACTGTACCCTGTATGCAAGGGCTGGTTTGCTTTCACTAACTGTACGGAGGCTCAGTCACTGGTACATTTTTATTTACAAAGCCATGTTAGGGAAACTTCCATCCTATATCTGCTCCCTGATCTCACGGAAAATTGTAAGTGGCTACTGCCTGAGATCGAATGCTGTGGTTTTATTAAATGTGCCAACTGCTAGGACTGTCTTAGGGAAGACAGCTTTTAGATGTGCAGCTCCACTGTCTTGGAATAGTCTGCAACTGAAATGGAAACTGAGCAATCTGGTGCCACTAAATGTTTTTAAAGCTCGGTTGGATGCTACTCAATCGGAAGCTGTTGGTACCTGTACATGTGGATAGTTATGTAAATTGTAATCCCTGTGATGATGATGTATGATGTCCTTTTGTTGTTCTGTTAATGTTTTTATGTTTCATGTGGAACCTACTTGAGCAGGTCTCCCTTGTAAAAGAGTTCAATGATCTCAATGGGATTTATCTGGATAAATAAAGGTTTAAAAAAAAAAAAAAATTAAGATAAAACTGGGACACTTTCTCCGAGAAGTAAACTTGGACTTTTAACCAGAAGAAAATGTCAGCTTGCTATTGTCCAGCATTTAACTGGGTGAGGTTAATGGGCTGTTATGCAAAGTACTGATGAGTTTGACAGTATAACAATGTCTAACTGTGATGCAGATAGAGATAAGATCACTGTTTTGTAATATATATATATATATATATGTAGTGTTATTTCCAACATGGCACATTTTATTTTTATGTTATGACTACAATATATAAATCCAGTACGTATAAACATAAAAAAAAGCAAATCTATGAAACAAACAAATATGAGTGAGTTGACTTAAGGATCACAGAGGAGGTGTAGGTAGAAAAATTCATTTCATTATTCATTTAGGTTAAAAATGTTCTTAAAACTAACCTGCAGGTGTTTCTCTTTTCTCCTCATCCTGTTCGTTTCTCAAATCCATGCTACTGTACGATGCTCTTTCTCCTCTTACTTGACATTTGTTTACATGCTTGTTGACTCTTCTTTCGGGTTAGGGTTTGTGCCGCCCCTTCCTCATATCACAGCACTTCTCTTAAACATGGGAACTCAAGTTATAAATGCATACTTGGATGTTTAACAGGGGAAGCTGGCAGGCGTACTGACATATATGTGAAGTTGTATTTCTGACAGCTGTAACTCAGACACTTCTGTTTATCTGCTGACGTCATCTATCTGCTGCTTATCTACCGACGGTCTTCTCGTTATGGAACAGACTCTGGTAAAGGTGAGTGTCACTTTAGGTCTGTGACTTTTGATTTCCTATAGCCGAAGAAATGTACATCTGTGCTATTTTATTTCCAACATGGCACATTTTCTTTTTATGTTATGACTACAATATATAAATCCAGTACGTATAAACATAAAAAAAAGCAAATCTATGAAACAAACAAATATGAGTGAGTTGACTTAAGGATCACAGAGGAGGTGTAGGTAGAAAAATTCATTTCATTATTCATTTAGGTTAAAAATGTTCTTAAAACTAACCTGCAGGTGTTTCTCTTTTCTCCTCATCCTGTTCGTTTCTCAAATCCATGCTACTGTACGATGCTCTTTCTCCTCTTACTTGACATTTGTTTACATGCTTGTTGACTCTTCTTTCGGGTTAGGGTTTGTGCCGCCCCTTCCTCATATCACAGCACTTCTCTTAAACATGGGAACTCAAGTTATAAATGCATACTTGGATGTTTAACAGGGGAAGCTGGCAGGCGTACTGACATATATGTGAAGTTGTATTTCTGACAGCTGTAACTCAGACACTTCTGTTTATCTGCTGACGTCATCTATCTGCTGCTTATCTACCGACGGTCTTCTCGTTATGGAACAGACTCTGGTAAAGGTGAGTGTCACTTTAGGTCTGTGACTTTTGATTTCCTATAGCCGAAGAAATGTACATCTGTGCTATTTTATCTGTTCTGTTTCATAATTATTTGAAATCTGAATGGACTCCAACTAAGAGGTAGAGTAGAACATGATACTTGTTAACTATAACCTGTTGAACATTTTATTAAATTGTGATTTGTTTTCAATTTTATTGTGGGCAAATAATGTCGACCTTACAAAACTTCCTGTAGTGTGTTATATGTTTTTACCATCCTTGAGTCAAATGGTCTGCAAAGGTTAAAGCGCCCAACATTATTGAGCGCTAGAACATACATTCGTTTACTTTTCAGAGAAGAATAATTACCCCAAAAATGCTAATTAACTAAAAACGTTTTTTATTTATTCAGGTAAATCAGACACATATTTGAAAACCTAAAAAAAAACTAAAATGGTCATTTGAATTACTATCTTGCTATTTCGACTAAATGAGAGTATATGTCAATGTATTATGTCACAATGCTGTCCTGCAATACATGTCTTCTGTTTTCCAGGTGGAAATACAGGATGAGCAGATTGAGCACACCATTTTGTAAAAGAACAAATTGAAAGTGAAAATCATCCAGTATGACAAAGATTTTAGCAGTTTAGTTTTGCCAAAAAATCACACTCAAATAAAAGCTTAAGTGTTTTTCGCTAAATAGCAGAGGAACAATAATCTACAAAAAATGAAAACCAAGACAGAAAACAAATGTAAATAGTGACAACAATTAAAGGAGGAAAAATAATAAATGATGTCTCTTCATTTTTATTTGGGTTCCAGCTTCTCGAGTGCCCAGAAAATATTTCTCCCCAGCACCTCCTCGAAATGTTTGTCCAACTGCAATAAAACACACATACACAAGCTGTTAAAGCGAATCCAGTCCATACCACACACTCCAAATAACCGCTGCTCTTCGTTACTGTAGAGAAGAGACTACTGTTTTAGATTCAAACTAAACCCTGTTTGTGTGTGCATCAGACATACCTGTTTAAACACACTATCCCTCGTGGCTTTTCCATCACAGAGGAGAGGCTCAGCCGAAGAGCACATCATGGACAGGCTGATTTCCCTTTTGTCTGCATCTGGGGGACAAACAGCTTGTTAGATCTAACGGCCATCTTGCAAGAATGTTTGCTTTGGCAAGATTTGTGTCTGTGAAGCAAATAGTGGCAGAAAATCAATCAAGAATGTGTCGGCTTTAATGACAATATTGTTGCAAATAGGTGTTCCAAAACTTAAAATGTGAGAGTTTGCTGCAACTTATTTAATGAATCACTACAAAACTCATGTTGGTTTATTGTTAGCGTTCTTGGTTAGCTTGTGTATGCTTTTGAACCGATGAATATCAAACAGGTGTCGGAGTTTCTTTAAAAGATTTTTACTCGAGACCGTTTCATGTTTTTGCCACATATTTTCATCAACAAGAAATTGAGGGCAACAACCTTCGTATGGTGCCTTAAATCAACAACCAAAGTTAAGATTCTTAAATCATTTTTAGGAATGTTAATGTCAATTCAGTTAGCATATTATGTTTTCCCCATTTAAGGTTTATTAAAGGGGACACATTCTAGTTTAAACCTGTAATGTAATGTATCAGAACAGTTGCTTTAATGTTATTATATAACCGTATCCTTCTGTCTGAAACACAGCCGGTCATCTTAGGGGAATGTACAACCAAAGTTTGTCAGTGAAAATGTTTGTTTTAAAATGAAGTCTCACCTGTGCTATGTGACACAGTTGCTGCTGTACTCAGCTCCTTATCCGCCACTGTTTGCACTTGAAAATCGTACTTGGTCCCTGATTTTAAGCCCGTAAACGTGTGTTTGGTTTTGTTCTCGATTCTCTCAGACACGGCGTGGCCCCAGAAGCTGGAGATGATTCCCACAGCGTACGTGACTCTTCCTACTTTGGCAGGGGGATCCCACTCGAAGGTAATGCTGGATTTATCTTGATAAGTGGATTTGGCTTTAGTAGGCGGCGACGGCACTGGAAAAAACAGAAAGAAAACGAGGCAGTGTTTTATCAGATTATCTTTATCATAATAAAGTGAGTATAAAGACCATGAAGTTAAAGAGATTCCCGTGAAATAATCCCCGTTCCCCTGAAAAACTAAAACGTGGACTTTAATTTAACGTATTATGTCAACAAATGTCACAATACGGTATTAGGTTAGTTAAAAGCAATAATTAAGTTGAACCTAATATTTTCTTTGTTTAAACTTAATATATTTGCTTTCAACCAACTTAATACAGTTATGTGAAATCTTTAATTAAAGTCACCGTTTCAGTGTGTCGCCAGATCAACCGGGACCACAATGTTGAGATAACTTTAAATACACAAAAAAACAACAAATACCACAGCGACTCACTGGTGAATATGGATCTGGTCAATGGTTCGCCATTGAGATGTCCGTTAAAGGCGTACACGGTCACATTGTATTCGGCTGCAGTCTTCAGACCGGTGAAGGTGATCTCAGAGAAATTTGTTTTTAGGTTTTGGTCGACCTTGCCTTCCAGCAGGAGCTCGACGAAGAAAGATGAAGAATCCCCCTCAGTTTTCCACGAGGCATTGAGCGACACGTCTGTTGAGCTCAAATTCATGTCTTGAATTGGTCCAGGAGCTATGGAAGAGTCACAGAGGCATGTTAGTGACACAGGAGGACCATTTTTTATATAAATAATTAATTAAATATGAGTTACCGGTGTAGTTGTCAATAGTTACACTGTCTCCCTCAATGTTGCCATTAACTAGTGCCGTCACACTGAGGGTTATCTTGGAGCCAATTGGCAGGCCTGTTACGTTAACTTCCGTAATGGTCACATTTTGAGGGACCGCCGGTTTGCTAGGAAGAGAAAACAATAATACAAAATATGACACCATTTTAAATTCAATTTGGGTATACCTTTTGTAGTTCCCTCCTTAAATTATCCATCACAACCTGCATTACCACTTTTACCTTCTGTATGCTGTACCTTTTGTACCTACAGTAATGTATTGACGTTTTGACCAAAGTCATTTCGATTTTTTTCTATGTACGTTAGCGAGGCAAACTATTAATGTAGCTGAGTTTAAGTGAGGAAAAAATAAATTCTGGACGATCTATCTACAAATACATACTTATTATTTGTAGCGACAACCCTGAAAAATGAGACATTTCCCACGGGACTCTTCCAGTTGAGCTGCAGTGAATGATGGGTATTACGAGACACCCTCAGGTCTGACACTTTCCCAGGCTCTGAAAGGGAGACGGACACAACGTCACTGTTTACCTCCCCATATCACAATATCACATGAGTCACTGTTCAGCTCAGATATGGCCCTCATTTGCTTATTTAAATCAATAGACTGGTAGAAAGAAATGCCTAGCTATAAAAATGTCCTTTATTGAACAAGTGTTCACTGGTCTTATTCATACAGTTTACTTCCTGGTGAAATGCTCTACCAAATAAAAGATAAAATAACACACTTCAATCGTAGGGGAAAGTACAGCAGTTCCCATCATGCATTATGATTTGCGTTATGCGATAAACACTCACTGGTGTTTCGTGAGACGATGGATTCTTCACTCCAGGTGGAATTATCCCCGACTCCTGAGAGGACAGTGAAGGTGTAAAAGTTTCCAGGTATCAAATCTCTGACCTCCTTGCCCTCTGTCTTGCTACTAATCTGCTTCCCATTTTTGATCTTAATCAGATAGAAATCTAAATTCCCAGCTGGTTTGGTCCAGTTCAGGAAGACGGAGGTTTCTGACACGTTGGTGAATTTGAGGTCTTCCACTTTGTTCGGTGCTGAAAGAAAACAGAGATATAATCAGTGTAACAAAAGTCCTACGCTAACATTTTTACTTAGTTCCCCTATTATAAACAATCCACCCTTTCATGTCTTTTATACATAAATATGTGTGAAGAGATCGGGAAAGATTCTCTTTCTTATTGTCCCGATCCATTTATATATAAAAACCTGTGTGAAACTTAGCTGATCAGAGTTTGGCCACTTTATGATGTCACAATGTTTTTTTGGGTTGTGTAACCATTAGCAAATAACCAACCAAAGTACCCCCCCCCCCCCCCCCACCCCCACCTTATCACCTGAATCTCCTCCTAGAGCACCATTGTGTTTTTTTGTTGAAAAATAGTATAATAGGAAAGTAAAAGAACAAAATTAAGCTTTTAAAAATACTTGCATTTAATTTCTATTATGCATAATGGACCATATAAGAATCAAATAAGATATAATATTGGAATATTAGGTTGGATGCAATAAAATATTCATCCCTTTATTTCCTAGCTGGTGTTGGTGGGGCTTATTTGAATTACTTTACATAACGCTGGGTAATTCCATCTATATCAATGTATCATACATTATTCAAATTCACTATCAATAATGTGGATCTGGAACTAAAATTGTCAAATGAGTACCTCTAAATTGTACTGTTTTTGAATTATTAAATGCTCTGGGATACTCTCTGATTTAATATCAAGTATGGAAACAGTGTGCATTGTAAACGCTAAAAAAAACACATTACGATTGCTTATAATCAAATAATTGTCTCAGCTCATCAAGTCACAATATGAAGTTACTATGGGAAAAAGGCTTGGTCGCTTTTGGAGCTAACAAGTGGAAGTGTATTTAAATAGAATGCAGGTTTTACAGATGGAGGTGAACTCACTGGTGTAGAAGGTGTCCTCCTGCGGGTTTAGGTCTCTCGTACACTTCACAGCGAACACCTGAATGGAGTAGCGGGTGCCTGGAGTCAGGCTGTTGAGGTCATAGGTCAAATCTTCAGTAGTAAAGTTGCGTTTCAGCATGTTGTCGCCTTCGGTAACCTCTACACGGTAATAGGTGATATTTCCAGGCCCGGATCGCCAAGTGAGAATGGAGCTGTTAGAAGTCTTCCGAGTCACGTTCAATTCGCCCAAAGAAACGATCTGCAGTGGGAAAATCAGAGGGAAATTGTTGTATCCATGTTTTATCCATTACAGTTTAAATTGAGGAATCAGAAAAGTTGTGTGGGTTCAAAAATGTGATTGATATGGAATGTATATTGTATGGCAGCCCTGTCATCAGTGTGTGAATTGGTTGTTAGACTAGTTGGAACATAGTGTAAAGCACTTTGAGTTGGTGGAAGACTAAAAAGAAGCTTTAACATACAAAAAGAACACAACCATACACAGTGAGTTGCTCAGGAAATGTATCCTATCTTTTTTTTATTTTATTGGTTTTTCAATAGGCAGTAGTAGGATTAAACCGCTGGTCACCTGATGAGTAAAAGTAAAAATAATATGGGCTTTAAAGGTGTCCTACCTTCGTAACATATGGAAGAGAGCAGCTCCGAGCAGACCCTTTCAACCCAAGGCCCGATGCTGAGCATGGCAACGCACGAGTCTTCAATGTAGTTTTCATCAGGCTTGGGGAAATCTGGCAACAGCACGTAATGTGCTTCTTCTGGCCACTGCGTTATTTTGCAACGAACTGGGGTTGATGGGGTTGATGGGGTTGATGGGGTTGATGGGGTTGATGGGGTTGATGGGGTTGATGGGGTTGATGGGGTTGATGGGGTTGATGGGGTTGATGGGGTTGATGGGGTTGATGGGGTTGATGGGGTTGATGGGGTTGATGGGGTTGATGGGGTTGATGGGGTTGATGGGGTTGATGGGGTTGATGGGGTTGATGGGGTTGATGGGGTTGATGGGGTTGATGGGGTTGATGGGGTTGATGGGGTTGATGGGGTTGATGGGGTTGATGGGGTTGATGGGGTTGATGGGGCTGATGGGGCTGATGGGGCTGTTGCAAATGTGGTTTCTTGAAGATGACCAGTCAAGTTTCCTGTAGCTTGGATTGCCGTTGCTGGGGTTCCCGAGTCTGGAGTTCCCGTTCCTGGGGCTACTGTTTCTGGGGTGACCGTTTCCGGGGCTGCTGTTTCCAGGCTGGCCTTTTCTGGGCAGACAAAGTAGTAGCTGTTTGGGAGGGAGGATCTGAACACGGGCCAACCAGGGTACCAGTTCTGGAAGATCAGAGGGTCTCCGTTGGCCCAGCGGAACCATGGCATTCTGGGATCCATGATGGTGTTGTTGGTGGAGTTGTTGGTGGAGTTGTTGGTGGAGTTGTTGGTGGCGTTGTTGGTGGCGTTGTTGGTGGCGTTGTTGGTGGCGTTGTTGGTGGCGTTGTTGGTGGCGTTGTTGGTGGCGTTGTTGGTGGAGTTGTTGGTGGAGTTGTTGGTGGAGTTGTTGGTGGAGTTGTTGGTGGCATTGTTGGTGGAGTTGCTGGTAGAGTTCTTGCGGAGGCCAACCCAGCAGTCAGAAGTGAGTAACTTGGAGACGGTTTGGACGTTTTCGGGGGTCAGTGTCACCAGGTCTTTGAAACAGGTCTGAGAGGACATGGAAGGGGACAGTCAATCTTCAACAGAACATCTGCTATAACGTAGGGCTGCTCGATTATGGCAAAAATCATAATCTCGATTATTTGGGTCAATAATTGATATCACGATTATTAAAAACGATTATCCAATTACCTTGAAAACATCCATTTATTGAAAAGAAAATGTGAACAGTATGTTTATAACAGTTGATTACCCTGAACTGTAAGTATAATTCAACTGAAAAACCAATACAAAATAAAGTCAATAATCGTTTTATTTCGATGTTTTCATAATCGTTGCAAGCCAAAATCGTAATTGCGATTAAAATACGATTAATTGAGCAGCCCTACTATAACGCAACTATGTCATACTGTGATATTAAGGAAGTTAAGTTTGTTTTTTTATATACAAGTTGTGACACCTGCTGTTTTGTTAAAGGAGTTGACATCTATGAAAAATATGGTTCTCTACAAACTCATGTTTTAGTCTCTTTTTGTATATTATATTGATCTTCGCGTAGTACCTGGCAGTGGTTCCTGGCCTCCTCCCAGGTGCGATTACTCGGATAAAGGAAGTATTCTCGCTGTGCGGCGCTCCAAGCAAACACCAGAGCTAAAGAGAGACATACAGACATGGAGCTTGGTCGTTTGTTGACAAAGCTCTGAAGTAGGGAAATAAATGCCATTTCCAATTTCTCAAATGCAGACAAAATCTTTTCAATTTCGTGTTTTGGTCAACAAAGGGATTGAAAACAAAAATGAGTATTAAAGGTGGGGTATGTAATTTATTTCAGAAACACTTTTTGTTATTGCAGATTTTTATTCGGCTGCGTAGTTTCAAATTCTAGCGCACTCAAGCTGGTTTCTACATTCTTACCTAAGAGGATGGGTATGCCGTTCTTGCTTGAAAATTGACCAACAGTTTATTCAAATAATTACCAATTCAGATGATTTTTTCACTAAATAAATATTTTTTAAAAATGTATCTCTTTGGTTATAAACACAATCCAAAGTAATCTATCGACGAACTTAAGATGTTTATTTTTTTTAATAAAAGTTAGAGATGACATTTAAGGTAAACTTTTTTTTAATTGAATTTCAAACATCACTGGCTGTATTCAGTGGACCTCTAAAAATGTAATTAGGAATAATTGATTATAGTTCTATTTAGCTGCAGCTAAATTTGCTTCATAAAAATGATTAATTATAATTATCAGAGGAATACAATTTATAAAAATACTCACCCAGAGAAACCACGATAGGGACTCCATTCTTAAGAGATGTCTGTCCCATGTTGAATTAGTGACGGTACTCAATTCAGGGCAGCTTCTTAAAATGTCACCATGCAAGAGATTGTCAAATAAAATCTAAACAAGTGGGAGCCAAGTTAAATACATTAAAACTAAGTTTTTACTAATACTGTACGCGTCTCATTACTCACCCAGGCTACAGATGCATCTTGCTTCTCTGAACAGGAGGAAATTATCTCAGGATGAGATGTGAAACAAATAGACACCTGTTCCAGTAACACATACAGTCAAAGGTTCATGAACAGCTCATTTGACTAGAAAAACATTGAATCCATTCAACAAAGAAAGGGAATATTAGTATGGAGGCTGCTGGTTTTGCATCAGTCTCCTGTACATGCAAAACAGGGGGGGCAATAACCAGGTAGATACAAAAATAAAAATACACATTTATGTTGAATAAAAGAATACAAGAATAGATTTATGTTAAGCATTTATTTTGGCTTACAGCTTTGAGTTACAAAAATGCCAATTAGTACAAAAGAAGCCATGAAAAAATGACAATGAAAATATAGAAAGATAAACCTCTTATACAAAACTTTTTCCCAAATCATCAACGAAGATATAGAAATGAAACAAATGCCTTTCGTTTATTTTTTTGGCAGTGTAAAAACAAAAAGTGGTTGAACGGACTGACAGGGATCGGTCACATCGAGAACTGGTGACACATTGCATGGTCTGAGGCCAAACATTTAAACAGAACATCACATGTATTTAGTTTACCCAGGCAGTAGTAATCAACATCTGAACAGTGCCTTGCATCTTAGAATTCACAAAAGGCGATGTGATGCAAATGTATTTGTTCCAACATTTTTCAACAGGTTCTACTGTATATAAAAGTTACAAAAACGAAAAGGGTGATCCAGCCAGCCCCATATCTACCGAATCCGCTGTTCATTTAACAACAAAAAGCATGACAGCACATTTTACAGTTCCCTGCAAACAGAATCACCAGCATTCAAGAGCTGAGGTCAACTGACCGATGATTGGAAATAACAGGGCTGAAATGTAGTTGCAGCTCATCGTGATAACAAAAGAAAAGCAGCCAAGCCTGTGAATTCCTTAATCTGGCCGTTTTGATCCCGTTCCCAGCTCATTTTGATGTCTGAGCTGGATGCAACATATGAACAAACTACCTAACATGGACGCACAAAAGCTTGGAATGATATAATGATCATATAATATGATGCCGTCAGGGTATCTGCCGGCGTCTTAGACAAGCTTATTAGGGTAGACATAAAAGGCAAAAAGCTGTTGCACCATTAATGCTGCAATCAGTATTTCCCCCCCGCTGTGCCCACATCAAAAAGAGACTTGGTCTCAAGTCCGTGTCTAAACCCTGACAGTATTACAGCCACATTCATGGACAGTAACATCCATTCAAGTTCTCCAAGCGTGACTTTTAACAAATGGCAGTGACTTGTTTTAATTCAATCTTGCAACAACAACAAAAAACTATGAAAACTGAAACATTTTCTTTAGATTTCCTCGACTAAAAACAACGTATAGGGAGCGCCTTGTTAGCCGAGTGGTCACGGCACATGCCAAATACTGGTTTGTTTCTAGTTTAGGACATTTTGTCAAATGTTATTGCCCTTTTGTTCTTTCTCCCCCTCCCGTCTACGCTATCCTCTGGCAAATAAAAGACAAAATGCCAAAAATAAAAAACGCTTGTAAAAAAATAATGCATTATAAATGACATGACTTACAAATGTAAAGATAGAAACTCGTGAAAATCCCTGCCACGGTTAACACTGATTAAATAAAGTCCCTCCTAAACAAATTGTCAATTTTATAGGACCTCGTGATGCACCGAGGACATTGAGGGTGGAGCAGTCCTGCTTACAGTATGCACCCCCTACATAACCTATTCAGCCTTTATTCATTTATAAACGTCAAAAACACCGCAGAGTACAGTAAACGGTCGACGGCAGTACAGTTATCGGATCAAGGGCACGGAGGCAGGAAGTGGTATGATTTTGGCGAATAAAAGCCTGACATAAACCTGATGGGAGGGAGGGAGAAAGAGAGGACGTTAGTTCTCATGATCAAAGCGACAAACTCCTTAGTCGCTGTCACTCTTATCTCCTCTGTGAAGGAGTCTCTTTCCGCTGGAAGGCAGAACAAACTCGTGTTTCACCCTGGTCTCAGGTTTCCTGTAGAGACGAAGCAGGACCAATCCAGTGAGGGATAGAAATGATGGCATGTGAGACAGATTCTTAAAATGATTGAATAACCTCAGTTGACCTGGTAGTCAGATTGGATTTAAATATAACACACAGTGACCTCTAGTGTCAGGTTATATGTAAAGACGGGGCTAAAAATCCAGTTGCAGGAATTAAGGTTTGAACTGCAATCTCTGAAAGTCATTCAGGTTGTTTTCCAGGATGCATTTCTTACCTGTCTTTGTCCAGCAACTCCAGACCATCGTTGATTTTCTTCAGCATCTCGTAGCGCTCGCGACCACGAACCTGCAGGAGAAACCAAAGAGGGACATTGTTCAAGCACAATGCAACATTTTATAAAGAAATTGAGCTTTAGGTATCCTAACTTACATTCAGAACAAACACATCCTTGTCTTCCTCCTCTGCACTGGAGGTGGGCCTGGACTTCTTCATAGAACTGGAGCCGGGGGTGCTCTCTGAGGAAGAGTGAGGTTAGCGAGGGGGCAGCAAACGGGCTCAAATATAAAGGAAAGCAGGAAATACTTACTGCGCTTTTTAGTTTGCTTGGTCCCACTCTGCATCTTGGTGCTGTTCTCCTCCTCGGTTTTGCGGTCCCTGCCTGGACAAGCACAGATGCGAACCTCTAAGCACCTCCGCCCCAGAACGAGCCCCCTAGGAAGGAGACGAACAAAAAAGGAGGGCTCAAAAGGCTTCCTGAGCAGCACAAACAACTTGAATGTAGCAGGATCACCACAACACTGCCGCCGCCACCACCGGCTGAACTGAACTGGGTTTTAAAAGAAGCAGGACTTACTCTGCAGTCTCCAGGGTCAGGATGGTGAGGATGGGGCGCCTGTTCATGCCCCCCATGCAAGAGCTGTTGCACATGAAGCTCAGCAAAATAGTTGTTATCTCTGAGCCCAACTGAAACAGAGAAAGTAGGATGTTTTTAAACAATGCTGGTTAAAGTGCATACAATAAGGGAACTTTGCTATTTTCCTAAAATCTTCATCGACCCACCTGGTTGTCCAAAATGCACTACATCATGAACCACATCATGAACAGTTTCACAACTTTTGCATGGACATTGAAATTCCTTGCTGAATGTACAGTGTTCATATACTCACGTAGAAAAGGTCACATGAATGTGAAGGAGTAAAATATGACTGCTGTAGTGGACAAGATCAACCCCTCAGACAGATGGGGTGGGGAGGGCGTACCTGAGGGAGCTCGTAGGGGACAGTCACACTCTGTCTCTTGGTGTTAGGGTCCTCAAAGTACTGGGCCCTTTGGCTGCCCTCAACCCTGATCAGGTGGCTGCGGTGGTCGGCAGCTGAAAGGAGAACAGATTAGAAAATGTTAAAATGGCCTCTTCAACGAGGAAACGTGTCCTCTGTACATCCAAAGCAACTTTTCTCTCAAATATTTCTCTTACCGTCCTCGTTCTGGTGATGGGGACATCTGCGTACCACTTCTGCCACATGCTCTGTTTTTTTATAAACTGCCGTAGCCCTGATGATGGCCCCTAAAGGAATCTCCTTCCCCAACAAAACTTCCACTGGGGTGGTCTTGGCTAGCTGGCAGTACAGTTTGTTGAGATGCTCCGAATACTGAGGGAAAGCACATGGCGAAACCACACGGGTCATGATGTGTGCACTTGTGGAGCTATAGAGCTGTGAGTACATATTATAATGGCCTGTAATCCATCCATTGTTCCCAAAATTAACATAGCTGGCTATTTGAAATATAGTCACCAACTGAAAACAGTTATAAAACACACTTTCATTCAAACATTCACCGATCGGACTCCTCGCAGAATTAGCTAATTTCACTTGATTGAACCGTATTTGATTGCTCTCAAAGCTCTCCCAATGTTTTTACCATTTTCTTAAAACTGTTTCTTCCCTTCATGTTGACTGTGCTCACGCTATAGACCATATTCTATGTTGAAGACAATAAGATGTCCATCTAACAAAGAAAACACTATTTTTTTTTTTTAACCAAATTGTCATCTAAAAAAGAAAGAAGAAAACGATCAAGGTATCTAAATAAGCAAGTCTAAAAATGTCAAATGAAAAGACAACTTTTACCTTGCTTTCGTCTGTTTTTAACCCATTCAGTGCTGGAGGAAGACAGCAGGAACATGCCCTGTCATGTCAGGGCAGAGCTTTACAGCCGCTGTCCCACAGACAGAGAACAAGTCGCAGGGGGCGGAACTTTCAGGGCCCACCAACCTAACCTCTACTAAACCGCCCAACTGCAGCGCTCTGCTGGGTGAGTCACCGTGGATACATTAATGCCATTGGCTCGTCAAACACAGTGACTGGCTCAAGACCTGTAAATTCAGCGAATCGTCACAATGAATAAGATTCCATTCGAATGCCACCATGAGATGTACGAAAGAATGGATTTTAAACGCAATACTGAAGGTAAGATATTAAAACTTTGTACGGAAAAACTTTCCCTAATGTTTTAAATGAGTTGTTGGTGATAAAAACGTACAAATTATTTGTTAGTGAGTTTAATATAGTCAAACATTTCAGTTATTTAACCTTTAAATTCTGTATGGTCAAATCGGTTTGGATAAAGGGAATTCAAACATCACAGGTTGAAGGATTCTACATTAAAAACACTATGGATGGAAGGACCTCAGAGGAACAGGAAATGGCAGAAATTAGCAGCTGAAAAAATCCTTTTGTCTTCTCAGAGGAGAACCCTGCCATGTTAGGTTAGGTTGCAGGGTCATCTGCAGCCCTGTTCAACATTTAGATTCAGATGAAATTCTTTAAACGTTTTACTCAATAAAGTACAGATTTATTTTGTGTTAGTAGTAGTTTGTCTTATCGATCAGACACAAGACAAATCATCTGGTATACACGTGAAGTCAAATAAGTATTATTTTTAACTTTTGAGACCATGCCTGGAATTACTTACAGTCGAAGTGACAGATTTAGCTGTGCCAGTCTTCTGGAATTGAAGCTGGAATCCATATTCCCCCGGATAGTCCGAAGTCACCGGGACTGTGGAGGAAGTCGGATTCACCCCATCCATGGTGGACACGTCCGGAGGAGGCAGCTCGAATAGCTCCTCATCAAAAACCTCGGTCAGAGAATGATCATTAAGTAACTGTAAAAAGGAGGGGAATGACAAAGACAGTCAACCACCATTAAGAAATCAATTCAGATTGAACATACCATCATTTGAGTATTGACAGAAAGCAAAGTGCATGTTTACCAGCATATCCATGTGGCCATCTGTTTTCCATGTTTCCTCAGGCACATTAATCACCGTTGGGGTGATATATGAGAGGGGGGGAGCTGAACTGCAAAAACCAAACACAAGTTAGTTAACATGTCTTTTCTGGAGTATACTAGTATTTTGAAATGTTTTCTTTAAAATAACACAACTTACACAGTGTTCCACCACTCACTGAAGGATTCCTGGCACAGCGGCATGGTTTGGCTCAATGTCAGATCGTCCAGACTTTGCTCTTCCATCGTCATTTAAAAAAGGGAAGAGCAAAGGTGCAGAGCGCTAAGGGGATAAACAGGAAGTAGGTGTGAGACGGTCACAAGTCTTTATCAAACACTCACAGCTTCATCAATCAGTGTATGATTCACTATTAAATAGTGTAATACATCTTCTTCTTCTTTTGGTCAATAGATTGGTCAGAAAACAGTCAAAAATAATCTTCAATTCTCAAGTGATAAAAAGTTAGATTTTCCAAAATAACACTTTTGATTAACAATAGGAATAAACAGAGTAAATAAACTAACATTTGAAAATAGATAGACAACCATGATATGACTTCTGTTTGATGAATGACCTGTCAGTTAACTTACAATACACAGACAAGGAGAAATTCATGGCGAGGGTAACGAAATGTAAAGAAAGAATAAACATTGTACTTCGCCTGTCACACCGAAATTACAATTCACAGCGTTGAAAATAAGTAAAGTTTGCACTTATTCTTAATTTACTTTCTGCTCAATAAAATGCTAACTAACGCTGAAGTTAACCTAACATTTAATATAATTGCGCATTTTGAATATGAAAGCACATTACAGCAAGCTGTGTTTAAGTTAACAACTGAAACAATGTAAGCTAGTTTGGTGATGAGCGACTCTCAAAACAAGAACAACACGTTACCGTCCATTTTCTTTCTAGCAAGAGGCCCTCACAAACTGAATGAAGCTAGCCCCCATATCGGTACTTTCCAAAATAACTCAATGAATGCCACTTAATTTAACGCCAAAATGTGCAAACAAGCAAAACTCTATGGACGGTATAACAAGTTTCGTCCCATAGACTGTATATAAAGGTTTCGTCACGCAATTAACGCACACTTGTGTTAGCTTAGCTTTAGCGTAAGTAGCTAATTACGTTGGCAATACGTTTCGGAATTCGACCGACAAACGTTAGCCAAACAGCGGCGAAACTTTTGTATCGGACAAATAAGTGGCGCTGGGTGACTTGCTGTTAAGAATGACACATGTGTGCCAACAATGCTACCTTTATTTGTCCCACTACTGCTGTCCGAGGCAGATGAGTCACTGGATGAGGCGAAGTAAACAGGCGAAAAAGTCAAAATATTTTGGACTATACGGAGCACGTTGTTGTCGGGGAATCCCACCAAAAGGAAGGGGGATGGGCAGGTTTTTAACCTCCACTCGCTGGCCAATCACAGAGCCTCATGTGGTCTGACGCAAACAAATGAAACATCGCGATATGCTGCTGCTGCATTCATGATTCCCGGAAATATTCCCACTCGAGAAAGACCGCACAAAAAATAGAGGGAGTTGCATGTCATGGATGTATATTTGTAGATTGTTTAATTATTGGTTACGGTTGGATTAAGATTAACCTTTATATTGATAAACTCTGGAGTGACACATAGTCCGTTTTTCTGCAAAAAAATACTGAACATATTATGTCTTAGAAAATACTAGCTTCTTATGAGCATCTGAAGGTAACAGCACGTCCTTGTGAGGTAAACATGTATTTAAAAAAAAAAGGTTAACCTCAACTTTTAGGGCCCAACATTTATAATATACTACAGTTTCAAATGACTAAAAACTGTTTGTCTTATAATGTAAAACCATTGCATTGCATGACTGCATATGTGGGTGTCCAATTCGTAAACCCCACCCTAAAACATCAGCATCATCAACAAACCATATTCGTAATGACATATTCCAAAGTATTACATGCACAAAACAATGCACAGTAAAGTTGTAACACCTTGCAGCTGGTTGAGTTCCTGTAAAGCTATCTTTGAGGGCAGAACCAGCATTACTCTCTCTCTCTCTCTCTCTCTCTCTCTCTCTCTCTCTCTCTCTCTCGCATCTCCTCTCTCTCTCCTCCTGCTCTCTCCATCTCTCTCTCGCTCATCGTCTCTCGTCTCTCTCGTCTCAGTCCTCTCTCTCTCTGCATTCCGCTCGTCGTCATCACTCTCTCTCATCCATCTCTCTCCATCTCTCTCTCTCTCTCTCGGAGGTCAGGGGTCAACTTTAAAGCAGCATCACCTTACTTAAGGACTAAAAGAAATTTCTCCAGCATGATATAGTCCTACTGTATATTGGGCTTAAAACTTGAGATTAAATCTGTTACTTTCACACTAAAACGCTGTGTATTGATTACATGATCTGCTCTTACAGGCTGGGTGACGTCACCCCTCATCACCCTTGAAATGTCCATGTGCTGATTAGATAAATTATATTCCATGGAGACCAGAGCTGCTGAGAAACTCCAGTAAAGACTTTAGGTGCCTGCAGCTGCTGCATCGGGCCCAGGGCCGGCTCTAGACAATTTGCAGCCCTAGGCGAGATTTTAGTTGGCGCCCCTCAGTCTGACTGAAGAGGACTCTCCCTCCACATTATTGTAGAAACATCTTCTTCTTTTATCAGTTAGAGCAGCTAGCACCAGATTCTAATAACAACAGCGCCGGTACCGGTGCACCCTCCCTCTCTCCCTCGCTCACTCGCATTTTGGCTGTGAGCTGCGGGCGCCAGATAAGTCAATACCAACATTCCCCATTTTCATCACTTACAGCGCCCATCGCACAGGGCAAATGAAACGTGTAACCGGGGTGAGAAGGGTGTTACATTTACTTAATTATGAATATTGTTACATCAAGGCCGAAAATTAGGATGAGCACCAACGGTCAAAAATGTTTTTTCCCTCCCAGAGCTACCAGCGCAGCGCCTCCCCAGATCTGGCGCCCTAGGCGAACATCTATAACGCCAGTGCTACGGGCCGGCCCTGATCGGGCCACTTGTGCCACCCTGCTGGTGTCTTATCCTGAACTGGCAAGAGTCTCATCAAAAGAGTACGCAGTGAACGTTGGTCCTGGGTGCATAGCGTTTATGGGTGCCACTTTGGGCTAGGTGGCTGTTTGACCTTTGAGTGAATGTGTTGATGGTGCCAGCGGGTCCACATATGAATTTCATCCCACTGGCACTTCATGCACATACAATAGTGAGTACTAGTAGAACACACGAGAAGGGCCGAGAGGGAAAAGAGAGTTTGAATATTGTTGCAACAAAATGTCAAACTAATCCAATGTTATGTGTAATTTAATATTATCGTGAGGTGTGCATGTCATGAGGGAGGACAAAAGGTGTATGTGTGTGTGTGTGTGTTTTTTTAAATAGTTTTCAGTGGTCACCAACCACAGTCTTGAATGACTGCAAGCATGCTGCAGAGAGCTTCATCATTAGTTGGGGTGTTGCCACGCAGATACATGGCAATATTCAGTATTAACCAGTGCTTGAATTGGAATGAAAAAGGTGCCAGTACTCTAAAATCAGCAACTTTTTCAAGTCAATTTTATATATACAGCCCACAAACAAGAATTTGGCTACTATAATGCTGGTGGGTTTGTCTCTTTACTACTGTATATTTTAGAAAGGTTCACTGTACTTAACATTTTTTATGATAGGCAGCGGATATGGCTAAAGCTCAGTAAGGTCAATATTAACTGAAAATATAGCAATCAAAGTCTAGATCTTCTGCTGAAGACACATGAAGCAGAGACCTTTCAGGTGAGAGCCCCTCTGGTGGTGTTTAACATTAATGACAAGGAAACAAAGCTCTGGTCAGAAGCATTTTTTATAAAAAGCTTTAACAAAATTAAGTATTTCTGTACATTTTGAATGCAATCTAACTTTCCAACTCAGAAAACGAAAAACGAAAAAGTGCCAAAAGTCTTCTCACATGGCTGAGCTGCTTTGCAATATACTTCACCACTGAAGAATACAAATATGTATAAAGTAAACTATGATGCAATCTAACTTTCCAACTCAGAAAAATGATAAAGAGCATGAACAAAGAACATGTAAAAACAAATGCAAAAATTTGCACAATCTAAAATGAGAAACTGTAACTGCAAGTAACAAAGTCTGAGCCATGGTAAAGAGTTACATTGAACACCAAGCTGATCAGATAACTCCCTGGTTGGTCTGAAGTCCTTCTATCTCCAGGATCTGTACAAATCGGCACATTATGCCAAAAGTCTTCTCACTGCTGCTCATTGCTTTGCAATATACTTCACATTGTTAGAAAAGGCTCCAGAAGGCCTTGGGGACATCAGTATCAGGGGCTGGAGCTGGACAGGCTCTTTCATCAGCACTTCTCCTTCCCTTTGCCAGCCAGGACCTCACATACTGTTCCGGATTGAACTGTCCTAGTGATGGTCCATTACATTTAATGAAAACCAGGCTGGACAGTCGGCTGACAGAGAGAGCATTCCTTTTTGCAGTAAGGATATCGTTCATGCAGCTGAATGCCCGCTCACACTCACTAGTGGAGACAGCGATGGTTCGGACTGCTTTCAGTAGAGGCTCCATGGCAGCAGGTGTACGGGATGCCCTGGTTTCCTTGTATTCGCGAAAGCCCTGAACAGTCTCTCTTCTGTCCACTTTCAGTACTTCGCACAAACGTAGCACCTCTACGTCCCCATACTGTACGTCTAACTCCTCTTCAGGCCAACTTCCAGGATGGATAACTTTCATGTCCTGGATTAGCTGATTGTCCCGGGCCTCCCGGCCATGTAATGGGATTTCTCTTGTGCTGACATGAGAGGAGGTTGTGGAAGTCATTCTGTGTCTCAGATTCTCTACCATACTGCGGAAAAACTGACCTGCATGAATCTGTACAAGCCTGCCATTCTCACGCAGGGCAACACCCTTGAAGGACTTCTCAGCTAGAGCTGTATGAACTGTAGTCATGTGTGGGCCAGGCAAGGTGACCATGGATTCAAAAACTCGTATTTCTCGAGTTAAGAGCCTATCTGCTGTAGGCAGTGTCATCTCTCTTTTTTGGAGTTGCCGAGAGAGGTCGCTGAGCTCTGTGAGCGCATCGTACATCAGTCCCAGATTGCTGACAAACGTTGCAGATGTGAGCACATCATCCAGGCCCTTGTACTTTGCTCTGTCTCTGGAATCCCTGCTCGTGTTGTTTGCAGCATTTGTGAAGTGATCATGAAGCACTCGGTAGTTTTCCCAGACTGCTCTGACGCTCCTTTCACTTGAAGCCACCCAGCGGATGGACAAAACACGCCCTATCACCAGGAGACGCTGTCCGACTGCTTGCGCACACTGCGCTAACTGCCTCTGATTTTTGGGGGAGGCATGGAACAAGGAATAGAGTTTGTCAAAAAAGATCTGGAAATGATTGAGCCCTGAGACCTCCTTGACCACATCCCCAACTGCCAGCTCTAGACATGATTGGAGCAGTGCCACACAAACAGGCTTGGGAATTTACTACACAACTGGGTAGCAACGCCTGTTCTCTTCCCTAGCATGACTGAAGACCCATCACATGCAAAAGAAACGAAACACTGACCTAAAAAGTCCTCGTTAAAATCTCTTCCAAGACACTCCATTAACGCCTTTGTGATGTCATCAGCCGTTGTTCCATCCAACTCGATCAGCTCCCAAAAAAACGTTTCGGGCTCAGCATCAGCTAATGCTGAGCGTAGACACACAACAAGCACCGTTTTACCACTAATAGTGGTAGATTCATCGACCAAAACACAGAGTTTTCTTTGGTTTTCTGTAATGTCTTTTGCATTTTTTCTTCAGCTCATGAGCTATGTGGTCGATGATTTCGCCACAGGTTTTATTGGAGTGCAAAACCCTGCCCACGTTCAGCCCATTCAGTTTCTGTACATTCAAATCAATTGGCATGTCTGTGAATGGCCGGCTATGTTTGCCAATTTTATATGCCGTTCGAAAAACTCTGATAGTGGTGTCTAATTCAGATTTATGCATAGACTGCACTTGATGTTGAATAGTTTCACGTGAAGCAGATGTAAGGATGTCAGCAGCTTTTACATGGGCTTGTGATTCTTTATGTTCTTTGATTTTTTTTCTCAGGCTAGCTTGTTGTTTGCCCTTGTCAACACCGAAATGAGACACTGCACACTCACCCCATTCAGTTGACAGTTTCAGTCCTTGTCCAGTGTCCATTCCCAAATATTTGACATCTCTGCATATCCGACATCCTAGCTTCTTATCTTTAAGAAGGAGCCATGCATTGGTCTTGCAAAAATATTGCACCTGGTCCGTTGTCCAGCAGTCAGGTGCATCGCTTTGCCCGGTGTTGGTGGTGGCAGTTGCGCCAGCAGCAGCTAACGTTAGAGGCTCTGGAGGAGGCGGCGGAGCTAGTGCTAATGCTAATGCACTAGAACTTGGAGCAGGAG